AAAGTTTTACGCTCATTATTAATAACGATTGAAACTAAATATTTTTTTGTTTCGAAGTTGAAATTAAGGCATATTCACTGCCAAAAGTCAGTTAAAAATTTTCCATATTATTCGTTATTTCTTATTTTATTCAAAGTTTTTGGTCAAATTCCAAATTGTCTCTCGAACCGTACACTTTTTTTTAGTATAGATATTATTTATTTACCTCAAGATATGCTGGGAAACCTAATTAATCACGAATTTCTAATTTTGTGTACTCTTGTCTCCGATTGTACCACCCAAACATCCTTAAGGCTGTTCATTAATCAAAGAGATTATACGTCTGATTAAAGTTTTTAAAAAATCAAAAATAAGTGAACCTAACAGTAATTTTGGTCTTGTTTTAAAAGTACAGTTGGACAATAAAACTAATGCCTCTACTTTAGGCTGATAAAAGTCACTAATTACAATTAAATGAATTAAATTAAGAAAGAGAGCAATTACAAAAATAATATGCTATTACAAAAAATAACTGGATAATGGTTAGTTATTTTCGGCTTTATATATATTTCTTGAAATAGTTTATCGAATTTAATGCCATTGTTTTTCCTTGCGGATCCTGAAAACCGGAAAATTATTTTTCATTATTCAAGTTGTCAAAGTTGTCACTTTAAATTTTCAAAGTCGCAAAACAAATCTGTTATATACGCCTGTCTTGTACAGGTGAAGCAAAACGTTCACGTAACATTAGGTACGCGTTGGCATTTTTTCATTTTATGTCGCTTTATCGAAAATGCATAATTTGTTGGTGAACTTGTGGAATATATTTCTTCAACCACGTCTATCTGAAAATATCATCAGCGTAATACCCCTGAAAGCATTTAATTACATTCATTGGACTTATTTTTCAAAAGATGACGTCGCTCTCTAATGATTAATAATAGAATATTCCACTCCCGCATTTGATATTTACCTAAACTTATAAGATGTGGCTAGAATGTATGTATTTGAAACCAATTATACACCCGAATAGAAACATTTAGACCTGTCCACATTTTTCCAATTGTTTATTTCCAATACGTCAAAATTGCTGATTTTTTATTGAACTTGTATGATATATTAATACGTTAGTGAAATTTTATTGTTTTTATGGGAAATAACATTTTTTCAACTTTTTGTTTATAATATTTGTCAAATATTGCACTTAAATGGACTTATGTAGTAGTATGTATATATATATATATATAT